ACCAGGAGGGTCTCTGTGAGTTCAAGGCCAACTGGTCTATGTAGCAATATCCTGGACAGCCAAGAGTACATGGAAAAGACCCTGTCTCAAAAAAACAAAACAAAAAAAAAAGAATTCTAAACCAAGAAGTGATGGTGCATGCCTTTAATCCTAGCACTCGGGAGGTACAGGCATGCAAATCTCTGTGAGTTTGAGGCCAGCCTGGTCTACAGAGCTAGTTCCAGGACAAGCTCCAAAGCTACAGAGAAACCCTGTCTTGAAAGACAAAACAAACAAACAAATTCTAACAGGAGGCTGGAGCAGTAGCTTAGCACTTCCAGCACGAGCTCTTCTGTCACAAGGCCTGGGCTCAATCCCAGCACCTTGACCGAAGCTCACAACTCCAACTCCAGTTCAGAGACTCTGATGCCCCCTTCTGAACCCAAAGGACACAAGGCATATACATGGAAAACACTCATAAACATAAGCAAACAAAAATTTAAAAATTCTATTATGGTTTTGCATGTACTATTTCTACCTGGAAGAAGTCTTTAAATGTTTGTCTTTGCCCAGCGGTGGTGGTACACGCCTTTAATCCCAGCATTTGAAAGGCAGTGGCAGGCAGATCTCTGTGAGTTTGAGGCCAGCCTGGTCTACAAGAGCTAGTTCCAGGACAAGCTCCAAAGCCACAGAGAAACCCTGCCTCGAAAAACAAACAATCAAAAAGTTTATCTTAGCATGGTGGTGCACACCTTTAATCCTAGCATTCCAGAGGCAAAGGCATGCAAATCTCTTTAAATTCCAAGCCAGCCAGGACTAAATGGTAATACTTTGTCTCAGAAAACAAAACAAAACAAACAAACAGAAACCTTAGATAAGAGCCATTTTTTTAAATTATTATTTTGTTTTCTTCTAGGCAAGTTCTTAATGTATTTCACGTTGGCCTTGAACTTGACTTGTAGCCAAGGATAGAGCTGACTTTCTGACTGTTTTACTCTAACTTCTGAGTACTAGGATTACAGGTGTGTTCTACCAGAGTTTTCTATAGCTATGGGGCTCAAACCCAGAGTTTCCATGCTAGGCAAACATTCTACCAATTGAACTCCATCCCCATGCTAAGAAAATACTTTCCTTCTTTCCTTTACTTTTTTTAAAAAAAAATCTATCGGGGGCTGGAGAGATAGTTCAGTGGTTAAGAGCATTGCTTGCTCTCCCAAAGGTCCTGAGTTCAATTCCCGGCAACCACATGGTGGCTCACAACCATCTGTAATGAAGTCTGGTGCCCTCTTCTGACCTGCAGACATACACACAGACAGAATATTGTATACATAATAAATAAATAAATAAATATTTTTTTAAAAAAATCTATCTCTCCACCTATCTATCTATCTATCTATCTATCTATCTATCTATCTATCTATTTTTTGGCTTTTTGAGACAAGGTTTCTTTGTAGAAAAGACATTTCTAATAAGCTGCTGCCAAGGGCTCAGAGATGTGGCTCACAGTGAAGAGTCCTTACAGCTCTTATAAGAGTTCCCAGCACACACCAGTTGGCTCACAATCACCTGTCATTTCAGTTCCGACGGATCCAACAACTCCTTACCTCTGCAGACACGTGTATTCACATATGATACACATAAACTCATGCAGGCACACATACACTCACACAAATAAACAAAACTTTTTTAAAAAGCAATTCCAGTTTCTAATTGTACAAGGAATAAGCCATGCCCAGTAGTCCTAGCTCTCAGATAGGGGTACCTCTGAGTTCATGGTCAACCTGGTCTATATAGCAAATTCCACATCAGCCAAAGCTGCATAGTGACACCCTGTTTCAAAAGCTGGGAGGTGGCATATACTTTTAATTCCAGTACTCAGGTGGCAGAGGCAGGTGAATCTATGTGAGTTCGAGATGAAAGACCTGGATAAATCTGGGTCCCCCCCGCCCCCGATGAAAGCCCTGGATAAATCCAGGTCCCCCCACCCTAGCAGGAAAAAATAGAGCCAAAAATCTAAGTAGGGAGAGAAGAATCAGAAATCTAGGATTAGCTGGTTCAGTGTTTCAGGAACTAGCTGAAGATAAAGTTAGATTGTAATCTTGAGAATAATCTTGAGAAACAAGGAGTTTCCCCTTTGTGACTATCATTGATATTTTTGGGATACTGTGTTTCAGGAACTAGCTGATTATAATCTTGAGAATAACCTTGAGGAACAGGGTGTTGCCCCCTTGTAGTCTTCACTGTATTTTCAGAATTTTCTGTGACACCCTCCCTACCCCTTTTGGATCACTGGGCTGTGGTTTCTTCCCTCAAAAACCCCTTCTCCCAGCTACTTGGGGTTGAACTCCTCCCCTGCGTGGGTTATGAGTCTCAGCCCCAGTGCACTGGTTCCCCTCTTGTCGAATAAACCTCATGTGATTGCAGCAAGGATGGTCTCTCGTGAGTTACTGGGGGGGTCGTGTTATCCCGAGACTTGAGTGAGAATCTCCCCACACCAGGGGTCTTTCAGAGGCCAGACTGGTCTACAAAGCAAATTTCAGGACAGTTAGAGCCACACAGATAAACCCTGTCTCAAAAAACTATAAAAAGGAAAGAAATGGGGGAAAAATGCTTATTGGAGCTGAGTATTTTGTCACATACCTGTAATTCCAGTTCCTGAAGGCAGAATATAGATAACAAAAGACAAGCAAAGAAGACACCCTTAGACCATACAAGTCACTCTGTCACCCAATCAGGAGAATTAAAAATCAGTGATCTCCGCTCAGCTCTCAGATGATGACCTCTAAGAACCAATAAAATGCCAGAAATAAAGGTAAAAACTGACTGAGCCAGTCCTGGGCTCAATGTTTAACTCCTGATCCCCTGCCCCTACCTTTGAAGTACTGGGATTACAAGGATGCACCACCATGTCCGACTGTGTTGTTCTTGGTTTCAGGTAATCCTCCTGGTAAGATGGCTCAGCTGTGAAGTCTAATAAATTGATTTCAAGTCCCACCTCCAATCAATGTTTTATGGTATTCAGACACAGAGACCCATACAAAGTAAATTACAAATAAGTAAGTCTAATAAAAAGAAAACCTTTGTGTACATTGTTTGGACATATAATTCATATAACCTAAACATTTTAAAGTATACGATTTAGTGTTTTAGCTTATTTTTGGTATTTATTTTATTCGTGTGTGAGGGTGGGTAGAAGTGCCGCATGCATGTGTGTTCATGTGTGTACAGGTACATACCCACACACATATGTGTGGAGGCCAGATGTCAACATCAAATGCATTCCTCTATTGCTCTCCACCTATTTTTTTCTTTTGAGACAGGGACACTAATTGAACCTGGAACTCTGTTTTAGTTAGAGTGGCTGGCAAGTGAGCCCTGGGATTTACCTGTCTCTGCCTATCAGAACTAGGGTAATACACATGCTGCCATGCCTGGCTTCTGTGTGGGTGCTGATCCTTCACCATCAAGCTCTTTATCAACCAGGCCATCTCCCCAGCCTGCTTGCTTTTTGAGACAAGGTGTAATTATCCATAGAGCTCAAGCCAGTCTAGACTACATAATAAGTTCTAGTACAGCATGGACGATGGAGTGAAACTTTATCTCAAAAAAAAGAAGTTTTCAATTAAAAAAATTAAATGAGAGATTATCTTACATATCTGACTATTTTATGGCATATACACACATACTCCAAATAAAGAGTATATTGTGTAGCATGTAAATATACATATAAAAGATGTTTCTACATATCAAGCACTCAACAAGCAATAGAATTTTTAAAAATGTTTATTGATTTTTGTGTGCATGTGTGTTTTGTCTGCATCTATGTCTGTGTGCCACATGCATGCAGTGCCTGAGAAGAGAAGAAGAGAACATCAGATTCCTGGACCTGGAATTACAGGCAGTTGTTAGCCACCATGGGGGTGCTGGGAACTGAATCTGGGTCCTCTATGAGAGCAGCAAATGTTCTTTACCACAGATCCATCTCTTCGGCCAAGGTTGATAGAATTTTTAATAACAAGCATTTCCAAAGCAATAAATCCTACGCTGGGCATGTAACCCTATAACTCAGGAAGTTGAAGCAGGAGTTCAAGGCCAGCCTGTACTGCATAGTAAGTTGAGGCCAGCGTGGGGTGGAACCAGAGACCCTATCTCCAAAAACCAACCAACCAAAAAGACTCAATGGAATGGAATACCTTCAGATAGTATGTCACCAACCATCAGCTTCATAGTCACTCTTTCAGTTATAAAGGGCTTCCTGCTGGGGTTTATAGAACAGTGGTAGGATGTATGAGGATATGGGGTTGATCTCTGGCACCACATACACACACAAAATAAGGGTCTTGATGGAAATTAGATCAACTCTGAGGTCCTACAAACTGTGGAACATAAACTGAAATGAAAACTTCCCTGATCTCTGACAAGTGAGATGAAGAAATGTGCTGTCTTTGGTCCAGATACGGGTATGAACAATATGTGACCAAAGCTAATAGTACGTGGGAGTTTTCTGGACCATTTGGTCTGGATTGTTGGCTGATTCTGGGATTGAAGTGAAGTCATTTAAGATCAGTGAAAAGGAAACTAGTGATGTGACTGGTAAAGCACAGACCCACCATGGATGAAGCCCAGGTTGTATCCCTGGCGCTGAAAAGACAATTAGTACCGCCCAAGAGGAGCATTAGCAGAGCAGGCGACAGAAACACGACTTCTCAAGTAGTTAAGCCGACATCTCTGAGGACAGGGTTATTCCACACAGAAGCCTGCACAGACTGTAGACAAGACAAAGAGAAACCAGCGCTCTTACTAGGAAGTAGAAGTTGCAAGAAATGGGCTAGACTGCACAGTCATGAAGAGCCACGTCAGGGGCTGCAGACAGGCTGGCCAGTCATGAAGAGCCACGTCAGGGGCTGCAGACAGGCTGGCCAGTCAGAAGGAAGCACAGGCTCCAACAGCCTCTCAAGTACTTTTTGCCTTTTTGTATCATCTACATCTCATAAAAATATTTGATTAACTTACCAGAAATATTCACTAGTGATATTTATTAGATATTTATATTTTGAATTCTCTTTTCTCAACTATTCCCTTCGTTAGCTTTCGCTGGGTCAAGAGATATGCCGTCATCCATTGTATCTTTACTTGTCTTCAAAACTCATCAGGGCCTGGACTGTAAAGAGACAGACTGTGAGGCCAGTGCTGAGGATGTATGAACACACGTACACACGTATGTTTGCTAAAGGCCTTGCTTCCTGGGTTCCAGATTCTCACAGAAATATTTTTTGAAGAATTATTTATTTATTATGTATACAGTATTCTGCCTCCATGTAACCTGCATGTCAGAAGAGGGTACCCCAGATCTTATTATAGATGGTAGTGAGCCACCATGTGGTTGCTGGGAACTGAACTCAGGACCTCTGGAAGAGCAGCCAGTGCTCTTAACCACGAAGCCATCTCCAGACCCTCACACACATCTCGATAGATAATTTACTCTATGCTACTTAAACCTACTTTCTCTTCAGCACCATAAACAAATTCATCACGCAGGGCTGAGCTCTACAGTCTTGGAAAAACAAATGCCATTTACTTTCTCCATTTGTGGGTCCTAGATTTTATATAGATACATAAGATCATGCATATGTGTGTGTGTGTGTGTGTGTGTGTGTGTGTGTGTGTGTAACTGCTGAATGGACAAAGATAACTAACAGAGACACCAGGGTAGCTTAGTAGATAAAGACACTTGCTTCCTAGCCTGTTATGAAGAAGAAGGAGAAGGAGGAGAAAAAGGAGAAGAAGAAGAAGAGGAGGAGGAGGAGGAGGAGGAGGAAGAAGAGGAGGAGGAGGAAGAAGAGGAAGAAGAAGAAGAAGAAGAGGAAGAAGAAGAAGAAGAGGAAGAAGAAGAGGAAGAAGAAGAAGAAGAAGAAGAAGAAGAAGAAGAGGAGGATGAGGAGGAGGAGGAGGAGGAGGAGGAGGTGGAGGAGGAGGAGGAGGAGGAAGAGGAAGAGGAAGAAGAAGAAGAAGAAGAAGAAGAAGAAGAAGAAGAAGAAGAGCTATTCCTTACGCTCATGTCTGTGTGTAGACATTTTCCTTTCATTCATCTCCTCCTACTACTTTTTTTAAAATTTTATTAATTCAAATTAATATCCAAAGGGTTAAATGTAAGAAAAATAATTTAGAGCAGGTAAGTTTTCAGCTTCTATCCAATTCCAATCAGGAGGCTGATACCTATTCCTTGATATATTCTGAGAATGGAGGAGTAGTTACGTGTGGGTTTTTCTAATTCTAGCTTCCCAGTGCGACCCTAAGCCCTACAGCTCAGGCTGAAATGTGGCCTTGGCCTTCCAGGAGAAGGGAATCTGCTGCACTACTCAGCAGGAACCCACCGTGGCCTGATTCTAAACAGTAACAACTTCTGAGAACTTCAGTTCTATTAGTACTATCTTCATGAGAACCAAGCTTTTCGACCTTGTGAGACTTGAGCGCCCCCTAGTGGAGAAGCCTATTCTAGCTCTTTTCTAAATTGCTGTTTTAGAATAGGAGTAACTGAGGTTCCTGACCCCAGGGCTGCCTTAAGTCCTCACCTGCAAATTCTTGCAACTTCTTCCGCTCCTCTATGTTATACTGAAGCTTTTCTAGTAGCTCAAAATATCGAAAAAGTGAATCTCTGGGCCAAACAACACGGTCATCCTGATCCATATCCATTAACCCAGGCAGGTTCTCATGCACAAGAGTCTCCCAGTCCAAGTTATCTGTAAGGAAGAATGCTTCTTAAGAACACGTCTAGGCCAGACGTGGTGGGAAAAAAAAGGGAAAGAAGAGGAGATGGTGACAACATGGATGTCTTATACATGCCTACCCTCCCATCATTTGGAACACAAGGCAGGAGAACTGAGGGTTTGAAGTCATCCTGGGCTGCAAAACAAAATGGCTGTGGTTCTCTCAAGCAAGAAGAATCTGAATTCAAATGGAAGGTCCTATTCTGCTTACCAGCATGATCCAAATCAGCTAACGAAGAACTGTAGGAGGATGTAGCGGCAGAAGAGGAAGATGTGTTGGCTTTAGCTTTTGGTGGTTCTTTCTGTCCTTTTCCATCTTCATCCTGCTTAGCATCGCTTTCGTCCGCGTCACTTTTGTCTACGTCATCACCTTTGTCTGCGTCATCACTTTTGTCTGCGTCATCACTTTTGTCTGCGT